CTCAGAATATAAGAAATTTTATATATTTCTAAATTTTTATTCCAAAAATTCTGGGATAAATAACATTAAATATTATACTTAAAATTAAAAAAGCAAAAGTGTTTAATAAATATATAAATAAAGAACTTAAAAAAGGCAGCTGTACAAAAAATTTTGTATTATTTTTATAACCAAAAACCACAAACATGTAATGGAAATTTGGAAAGTTATGTAAAAATAAGCAAACATAAATAGGTTGCAATAAAAATAAATGTTGAAAATTAAAAAAAAATCTAAGTCAAAATTATCAGTGTTATAGTGCCAAAATTAATACAATAGAATATTTTCAAAATTTTATAATTTCGAAATATGATTAAAGTCGAATATTCGAAAAAAATCAGTTTCGAAATTCTTAAAATATGTATATTTCGAATTTCTTAAGATGGAAAATAATACCAAACTAATACAGAAAATGTTTATATTAATTCAACTATTTCAAAATTGTTTCAAAATTAATTTTTCAAAAAATATTATTTTGGAAATTTAGAACAAAATTCATAATAATCGATACAAAATTATACCAAAAATAATATGAAACAAGTAAGGAAGATCGGGTATTGCTAAAACAATACATATATTATTTATTGGAATACAAAATATTTAAATATTAATCAATTTCATAGTTTTGATAAAAGTGAGTTTCGAAATTTTGAAAAAAAAAAAATTCAAAATAATATCACAAATAACACAGACAAAAATAAACAACATATAAAAAATGTTCATAAAAAAGTAATTGCTCACCATTTAACCTCTCTTGCCCCACCGTGCAATATTCGTAAAAGCATGCCGTTATTTGTGGGTGACTCTGTGCGGCAACACTTACCACTTTCACACTCTTATTTAAATGAAACACACACCCACAAACAAAATCGGTAAATAATTTAAAAAGTGCATGAGCGCCGCTGCTACCACCTGCAGCAATGGTGTACAAAAATAATTATTATTCATGAATCCATAAACAATATACTCATTAAAAATGACCGACAAGTACATATTGTTGTGTTATTGCCAGCGTTATTGTAGCTTTTGTATTTTTTGTTTGTGTGCACACTCTTATGGCAAGTGTTGTACGCTTCATAGAAGAATCAATCACCAACACACACACATATACATAACAAGAAAATAAAGTGCTTTTATATATGTATTTAACCAGTAATTGAAATGGCTGCGACTAAATGTTGAATCATATAACGCTTGTTTATTGGAACAATAACGGTATATGACTATTGTAATGGCCTTCAATGAGGAGGCAGTATTGGGCAACCTTTATGATTAATAATTGCGGTGCATGAAAGCAGCAGCTGTTCGCAAATTTTCAATTCAGCGGTTGGTTTCTTCATGATTTACACTTTGTGGATACTGAAGTGTACAAATAGCAAGAAGATCTTTATTATATACTCATATAAAGTGTTGCTTGCTGTGAAATGAAGGACTTACATAAGTAATCAGTAAGTTTGCGTGCAGTAGGCATCATTTACGAAGGCCATGTTCAGTTCGCCACTTCTGTCTTACATTTATGTGAAGTCAACAAATTAGCCATACAGTTAGATTCTATATATGAGGGCTGCTATAGCTGATTAGACTAGCTGAGCTGTTTTATGACACTTTAACAGTTTTATACCAGTTAAGTTGTTTTGAACCAACTTTGGTTTATACCAGTTTAATCTTATGCCAGTTTAAATTTTTTATACAAGTTTAGTTTTCTATGCCAGTTTTGTTTTTACATCAGTTCGTTTTTATACCAGTTATTTGTTTTACAACATTTAAGCTGTTTTATAAAAGTTTAGTTGTTTTATACCAGTTTCCTACTCAACTCGCCACTTGCTTGTTTACTCTTATTCTTATTTGACGACAACAGCTTAGTTATAGGTACAGTTGGAATCAATATGATTCATTATGAGACGACTTAATTGAAGTGGTATAAATTAAACGCAAATTATGCTATCTGTTTTTGGTTATACCGATTTAGTCGTTTTGCACCAGTTGGTTATTCGATTCGCCACTATTTCAGATTTTCACTGGTGCATACAGCTAAAGGAATGTGCTTATTAATATTATATTAGGTCGGGTTAGGTAAAAAGGCAGATGTTGTTACCATCGCCAGCAAAGATCCCACTTGGACATCTTACAATGTCAGTTCATTGTGATATCTTAAACCTCTAAATAATGATTCTTATAAATTAATAAAGCTTATAAATTGATAAAGCTCTTCTAATCCATACCAGTTTCTTTGCGACAGTCAGCCGAAACTGATGACTTTTTCTGCTGCTACGACGAAACTATGACTGCCGAGCTGTTTAACCCGAGCCTTGCAAAAGCTGTACAATAGGGGAAAAAGTGCCTGAATACTTTTTGCACACGTTCCTCCCTACAACGTTTACTATTTGAATTCGATAGGTATAGTGTTACCGTATGAAAGTCTATTGAATAAACAATTCAATCGATTACGGAAAGATTAACCTAAAAACAAGTAGAATGAAAGAGTTGAACCCTTTGCGTTCTACTCTAGACCAGAAAGATCTCGCACTCACTCAGGCGATCGACAACATATTTTTTGTTGGTAGCTGAGCAAACAAAGGTCCACAGTCGGCAATATAATCGAATGTTTTGAGTACAATGTCATTTAGTGCCATGTTTGATGTCATCCGTAGTGCACCATGATTCCGTCGTGAGCCACCCTATAGACACTTTTTAGTGGGCTTTACTTTTTGTAGACGAATAGTCCATATGACCATTGTCCATTAATGAAATGAGAAATCCACCTCTTTCCCATAACTCCCCAACAGCACTTTATACTGCCAAGAAGATCCACGTAAAAAAGATGATAATAACTGTTGCTGTAACTGTTTTCCCATACCAATGGTTCTTACCTGGTGCAGGTTTTGGAACGGTTGGTAAAAATACAGCAATGTTTCACATATGGTATTTCTGGACAAATAAAGGTTCCCAATTAAATAAGTTTTGATAAGGCTTTAATCTGGTTAGATAGCTGAGACTGTATACGATTTTTTAGTAAATAAATGTAGACTCTCAATATTCATCATTTCATACTTCTCAGCGGCTATTCTATTACCAACAGGTATTGACTCAAAATGTTTTTCCTTTTCCTTTATCTAATATCATAGACATATATAAAAATAATTATAACGGGTGATCCACTTAGAGGTACTGTTCGCAATAGCTTCCTTTTTTTTTTTTTTGACACATCACGCGTAAGTCGCGTCAAGCTGTCATATTATTTTTGTTCTGTATGGTTTGGCATTTCATCATGTAAAGGCTTACGCCTAAACGACATTTACAAATTCACGTTTCGTAAAGAATGTATTCCGCGCACTTCGCTCAACTTTTGTCAACATAATCGGCATACTGAGCGTTCTATTCGCAACACCGTCACCCAACTTGAGACACAGCATTCATTACTGAATAATACTCGACCGAATAAACCACGTCCAGCACTCAGTGAAGACAATATAGTATAGTCGCCGTAGAACCGGAGACTGTACACGAAGCCCGTGGAGAGTCGATTCGGTGCCGTTTCCAGCAACTGGGCCTAAACGACTTGGCGCATTTTCGATCGAGATCTTAAATTGAAAGCATGCAAAATACATCTTGTGCAAGAACTGAAGCCGCTCTACCTTCCGAAGCGACACCGGTTCGCTCTACGAGCTCTTGAAAAGTTTCAAAAAGATCCCACATTTTCGATTTTTTGTTCAGCGATGATCGCCATTTCTGACTCGATGAGCATGTAAACGAGCAAAATTTCCGCATTTAGGGCGGGAAACATCCTGAAGGAATTCAAGAGCTGTGGCCTTGTAGGTTTATGCAAAGTTTATGTGGTTACCAGTCGAAAAACCCGAAAAAGTCATCAAAAATTGGACGCAGTGGATAGATCATCTGAGACATAGCTACGGCCAACATTTTAGAGAAATAATCTTCAGAAAATAAATGGAAAATAATGTTCTTTCGAATTATAATAAACACTCCATATAAAAATTGAAGCTTCCCTGTTTTTTGTTTAAACAAGTAGGGAACCTTGAAACGAATCATCCTTTAAATATATATGTATGTATATACTTATATATACACTTGAACTTTCTTAACTCGAAGTCTCTTTAGTTCGAAGTTTTTTTTATCAATTATGATGAGTTCAGGTAGAGAAGTTCAACTGTATATAAAATTGCTTGGATTCCGAATCTCCGGTTAACAGTTTGCACCTTACGATATTCCCTGGCGTTGATTACTTGTTTTTCATTAAGGACGAAATTTTATTTATTTCGTTTGAAAATCGAAAATAAAATCCGCTCAAAAATTCTTTCGCCAAAATATCAGTTTTTTTTTAAAGACAAGAGACTTCATGTTCTCTGAAATCTTTATTTTGTGATGGTGTCTAATTAAACAGTGAGGTAAAGTGATTAACCATACAAATCGTTCTGCACCCCACATATAAGCCTGATTTCGCACCACGTGATTTCTGGCTAATCAGTAAACTCAAAAGTTTCCTGAGGAAATGACCGTTTGACGCTATTGCGGAGATAAAAACCAATAGAAGAAGATTTTGAAGATTTTGAAAAGGGTATTGACTGTTTCGAAAACTAGAAAAAACATTCACAAAGGTATTTTTCGGATGGGAATAACTTGGCGGAGACGACATTGTTTTAGAGGAAAACGTAAACAATTTACATTTATAAACAAATTCTGTTTACTTTTTGATAGCAGGTATATTAATATGGTAAATGTCTTAGAAAATGCAAAAAGCCCTACTTTTCCAACTTTTAAGATTTTTTTGCTTTCAAACATTGCCTATCTTGGTCTTTATGTATAATGTATACACTTATTTGAACTGCATATTTAATATTTAAATGGCCGTACCCTTGAAAAGGCCCCCAAGCTACTATGTGCATGCAGCACAATTACTTACTCGTTTCACTTTCTCTCTCTCTTATTATAGGAACTGACAATTAATCAAAAATCAGCGATTCGTGAAGACAGTGAATTTATAATTTCATGCACCGCCCAAGGATCATCACGCATGCAATTCCAATGGTACAAGGATGGAGCGCGTGTTAACACATCCAAGGCTATAAGGTGAGCGCAAAAACACATATGTACACACAAAGCTTTACATCCATACAATAGTATGTATATACAAACACACAAACATTTAAACACATGCGTGTATGTATGTATATAAATATTGATCCACTACATCATTATCATTTTTATGAGTACTTGTACTTTACACAGTTTTCACGCGTTGCTATTTTTGTTGTTGCACATGTGCAAACGAGCAGTGTATTCATTAACACACAAATGATAAGTGCGAAAGCGCTTCGGGCGTTGAGAAGCCTTTAAAAAAGCGCATACAATTCGCCTATTGTTATTGTTGTGGCAGGTGAAAATTGTGGCACGTGTGTGGCAAACGTGAAAAATTAAATGCGTTGTTGTACTTCAATGTAAGCCTTTAGATATATCTGAGCTGTGTTACGTGTACTGTAGCCAATTTTCATTTATTTGCTTTAAATCTTACACATAATATATATTAATCGGTTTAAGCGAAGCATTACAGGCGATGAAAGGATAATATTGATGGCTGAAAAATTGAATTGCATAATAAATATTTTTGTGAAATTTCACTGTTCTATATTTGCCAGTTTTCATTTCACTCAATTCTTGTGTTGTTTAAGCACAGCAAAGGTGATTATATGTTTTAGAAAAAGCCTTATTGTTGTGCAAGATGAAGTGTGGCATATCAAAAAAAAAAAATGTTGAATAAATGCATAATTTTAAATTTCAATATAACACAGTATACAGTGAAACAACAGACAACTAAACTCCAAAAATATGCGTTACGTATGACAAGCGATTATTCATCCTTGACTACTGAGTAGCCATATTTTTTTTGTTTATTATGTATCACGTTTTGCCGCTGATGTCCTATCAAATTCAGCAAATTATCATACATATAAAATAATTGCGAGTGTTCAACCGGCAGCGCTCATAAGTATTTGCGGTGCACTACAAAAAATTAATAAGTAGTGGCAAAGTGCATGACTGCGAAATATACCTCAGGCTCAGACAATTTGGGTACTTAATATATGGTAGATGACTGCCAGCATTTGCAATGTGGAATCCGCGAATACTGTAACTTCATTGGAAAATACTCAAAATACCAATTCAACGATCCTAGTCCTTGTTATCGCTGCTCTGCTCCCATAGTCATGAGCGATATGCGGAAAGGAAGGACCGGCTGAAGGAAAGAGACGGTGAGCTTTTTTTTATGAGTATTTAGAAGTTTTCAGGGAGAGTTTGTGGGGGATATACACTAACGGGAACTTACCATCAACTTCAGTTTTAAGCTTCCTGATCATTGCAACGTCTTCCTAGCGGAGTTGGATACTATAAAATTAGCAAGATTTACAAGTTTCGAGTGCAGCCTCCTTGAGAGTCGCTACTATGCACTGCGATGCTAAGACATCGTTATCAGCAACTTTGCTAACTGCGGCCTGAAGGCTAATGAAAGGTTGTCTATAATTATTATCTTTAGCAACAAGCTATTTTACGAGTATACTGATTTGCGTGTCTGCCCACAGCGGTATTGCAGGATTGTAAAGCTAATGAGCATGCTTCTCAATAACTTTGTAATGGGAACGGGTAGAAGCACAATTAGCTTCTTCTAATTCATTGCTGTACGGTCGACCTTCAGACCAACTCAGTAAACCTTAGTGAATTACTAGAAAATATGCAGTCGCAAGTGCTCTTGTGCCTAAGGTAAATCACAGGAGGTCTATGGAACTCTTCGCTATCAGCAAGTGTCATTTTTCAGTGATTGTAGAAGTGCTAATTGGACATTGTAAAATCGACATTTATTCGGAAAGATTTAATATCTTATCAGAAGTCAGCTGCATCACCTGTTTGGAAGACGTTCAGATAGAATAATCTCAACACTTCCGCCTTAACTGTTTCGCATGTGCCAGAACAAGGCAAATATCTTGGATCTCATATTTTTAGACATTCAGATGAACTCGCATAAGTAGAAATAAAACACCTAAGCAGGTTCTTATCTAGCTGTGCATACGAGGTTTTGAGATATCTTTCACATCCATTTCCATTAATGATATAGCTGTCATACCAATTATTCGATCATAATAAAGTCCTGATATTGTGTTTTTAAATTACTAATAATAACTAAGCGAGTGTTCTTTGGCAACTCTTTGCTCAGCCGTCACCGCAGATACCATTTCAGTTCAGAGCAAAAACTTAGAATACGTGAAGAACATAACTTATATCAAACTGAAACTCAAGATTAGGTCAAGTTTTGGAAACACTATTGAAATCTTAAGTAGAAATCGATATTATTTAGAATAAAACCAGTTCAATTCTATCTATCTATTATATAAATCTATGCAAATTAAATTCGAAATAAAACCTTTTTAACTGTTATAGTTGTTAGAAAAGTTGAGAAGTGAAAACTGCACTGCGAGCTGGGATCTACCTGTATTATGCTCTATTCTTGTACCACAAGGCTTCTTTTCAGCCAACTGAATTAAAAAGCTTAGTAAAACTATTTGATGAACGCTTCTTATGCGTGCTCTAACTGGATTAATCTGCCCAATAGTCTGGCTCTTTCTTCTTGCCATTGTGAGGCAGTCACTAGCTGTCTTAACTTTTCCCCTTTGAGTAAAATTAGTGGCGATTTTACAAACTCCTAATTGTCGTCATATATAGTGGCGATAGAAGAAAGTGGCTCCGGTCGTATTGGCATGGTTACGGCAGCTTCGTTAGCCAGAAGAAAGGCAAACTCATTGCCATCGATTCTTCTCTGTCAAGGGATACATGCTAATGAAAAGTTAAATTTTATAGCAAGCCTGTTAAGCATTTTGATGCGTTTCAGAACCAATGTTGAGTTGATTTCAATGGACGAAATTGTATGAACTGCTATGTTATAGTTTATTTTTATAATATATTCTGTACACCTGTTACAGGCCATGGACAGTGACAGCTGCGAATAATGCGTGGTCTCACTATCCCAACCCCGATTGCATCTGCCGCTCTCCAGCGTGTATGTCATGATATCGTGGTTCTTCTCGAGAATGGAGTCTTTGCAGGTTAGACTGGTTCGGATAGTGGCACCCAATACATTTTCTTGGTTTTGTACGCTTAATACTCTGTTCGTTTTAAGGGCTTAGAACATCAAGACTAAGGGAGACCTCTTTGAATCACCTCCAGTGCTGCGATTGGGCACTTGTACGTGAGACTAGTGAGACCTACACATGTCAGCCTCTACACTTTCGTCAGCTGTTTGCTGACAGTTATAAGAGAAACCTTTGACAACTAAAATCCTGCTCCTTATCGGAACTGTTAAAGAGACTTTATGATATTTTTGTGCTGTGAAAAGTTGGTGGGTTCAATAACAAAGGATGCTATGGAAAAAAGTTTGTATAACTTTGCCTTTCACCGCATTCGAAACATGAAATGAGAGCCTTAAATTTGATACCTCGATATTAAAGATTTTAAACCAATATTTTAGCAACATCGCTTAAAGAGTATGATCAACTGTTTTAATCGCTTAAAGCTAATTAATTGCTAAATAGCTTAAGCTTACATATGAATAATTTTAGAATTTATACCAACATAATGTGTGAGCCTAGTCTACTTTGAGGTGTTGAAATGTTTTTCTCATAATATTTATGTTCTTGCTCTCTTAACGGTAAACATAATTATTGCATTCCCATATAAATACGAGTAAAGTATATTCGATGCTTATAATAGTATTGGTATTGTATAGACTGGACTGACATAGATATATAAATAAACGCTATAGAAATTTTAATGGAAATGTATATGTAGTTGTTGGAAATACAAATTTCAATAGAAATATTTATGTAGTTGTACTTACAAATTCGTTTATTTCCTCCATTGTTTATTGGTCTAACTTTGGGCAAAGAGCAATTGCGCAAATAGACAATCAATTTAAATAACAAGTGCATGTAAATTTAGTAATGTAACAAAAGTAGTTGTTGGACATGGTTACATTAGGGTGTTCGTTATTTCTAAGTATATATTTCTTGAAATTTTTTGTTTCTTTACTTGAAATTTCAGTTTTGCTTGTTACAAGTGCTTTATGAATATTATGTTGCTCATGCGACATGGTGTACTGTATTGTCAGTACATTTGATGCCTAGTTTCAACTGCCTATAACTTTCAAATGAAAGTTTTGATGGAAAAAGTCTGTATGAATCTTTTGTAGCGCTGAAAATTTTATTTTGGAAAATCGCTCTTTCAAAGTTACAGGTTTTATTTTATAATGCAAAATATCAATATATTTCATGTTAGCGTATCTGCGTTGGAAGGCTAGACTCAGGCTAGGTTTAAATTTAAAACAAAAAGTTTGCGTGCTTTGAGACAAAAACTGAAATTTGAGCAGGGTTCTGTAAAACAAAATCACTTTCATAAATAACGGTTACCCTAAAGTACATATGTATGTGTGTACACATAGTTATACTCGTTTAGACATATGTATGTTCATAAATTTATATCATTCCTTAACCAATAACTGTTTTATATTACTTGGATGGCTCACGATACATACGTATATCCATTTTCACTAACGCTAATATTTATTCACATTTTGACATGCATACCTACCTACTATATATACCTATATCCTATTTACCTCAACATGACTTATATATATATAAATTTAAAACAATTCAGTTATGTTTGCCTCTATGTGTGCATAGCGGAACGTCTGTTCTTGAAGGTTGAATGCCTTTATTATTGCTACAGCTACAGCTACACAATTAAAATATTGAAATTGTATAGGTGTACTTGACATCAATCAATATTAAAATTTGCATAACGGTTTTGGTAACAAAATCTAATAGATGAAAACAATTATTTTGTTGTGTACATTGCAATGTGAATGACCGTTATTGAACTTCAGGGAATGTTCGCTTCATTGAGCAAGTTGAGCCGAAAGCGAAAATTAGTCTTTAACGAGTCTTAACAAGAAAAACAGTTATTTTTCTTGAATTTGTATCAGCTAGTATGGCAGCTATATGATATAAAGGTTAAAATTGAAAAAA